CACATCCTTTTAATTATGTTTGAAATTATGAACATTGCTCAACATCATGAAAATTAAACCTTATTTTCAATAAGCAATCCTGAAAAATATTTGGGGGTGCTTAACTTTTTTCCAGGTGTATATAACTAAGTAATTTAGTGTTAAGTTCTGTGTGTTTTGGATTCAGAGATTATATTTTCATTTCCTTTCAGTAAAAAAAGAACGTGGTTTATAATAAAAACACATATTGCAGATAAACCAATTAAATCATCTATTTCCACTTCATAAAAAGTAGGTTTTTTAACATCTATTTTCAAGACTATTCTCTGTGGACATGCTTTGTGTTAATTATCAATAGGTAAACTGATATCCTATTATTTACATACTATTTATTAATGTTTTTTTTGGCATATTGTAAGCTTACAAATGATGATTTCCAACAGGAAAACTGACCGAAGTTCATCTACCAATTGATCGTTTTACAAGAAAGTGCAAAGGATTTGCTTTTGTTACCTTCATGTTTCCTGAACACGCAGTCAAAGCTTTTTCTGAGCTGGATGGAAAAATATTTCAGGTAAAATATTGGCAGGGTACGATTTAATTTTTTACAATAAATGTAAGATGTTCTTAACTTTCGTTCTTAACAAATTGTTGTGTTATTTTGTAAGATTTTTCTCGTCATACCTAGATTGCGCCCAGAAAGCTCTTTTCGATTTGCAAATATATCACAGACACACTTCACTAGAGACTACAAATAACTATTTTCTATTAGAGGTAGTAATAAAGTTAAAAATATATATAATTTCCTAAAACAATTTTAAGATTACACTGTTTATTTAGGATAAGACAGAATGTATTTGATTTGTCTTCCTTTTAAATCTGTAGTGAGAGTTTATTATTTGCATTTTTTATAGTAGATTAGGTTTTTTTTTTTTTTCTAGGGTCGTTTAATGCATCTGCTACCAGGAAAATCCAAGAAGAATTTGGAAGAATTGAAAGGTATATTAAGATGTTTGACATAATTTTTTAAATGTTTCACTGTTACACTTTTTACAGTAACTTCTACTTAATTAGGATCAGAATATTTATGTAATTAAATATAAGGTTAAATTAGCTGGTTGATTGATCTCAACTTTGTAACCTACGGAATAGCGATCATATTATCTAATGAAGAAATATGTTGAATTTTTTTATAAGCTTTATGAAATTGTTATTGTTTTCTTGCTCACGTAAGATGACGTGTCGTATAAAAAGAAGAAAGAAGTTCAACTGAAGGCCACTAGTGGAAGGTAGGGGTTGTTCCTTACTGAAAAAATTAAACTTGTTCGTTATCCGTAAATCTGAAAACTTTTGTTCTTTAGTTCATTTGAATGTCTTCTTATGACAAACTTTATGCTGGTTTTTACTATAAAACTCTTCTTGTGTAAATGGTTTACCATGTTGCTTGTTTTCACACTTGAATACTGTTTGTTTTATGGTGACAGTCAAATGACGATGATGAGTACCATTAAAACAGTTGTTTACGTTAATGTAATTCTAATGTTAAAGGCAAGTAATGTACGCTGTTAAATAAAAGAAATACAATTTCTGCTTTTGGCTTCTGTTCGAAAAAGTTATGCACTTTGTTGAGAAGATTCTTTAGGATTATTTTTGACTGAGAACACACTTTTTTTTTTCTTCTCAGTTCAGTTTCCATGGCATTTTAAGTGTTAATTGTTTTTTCTTTTGGAAGTTGATTGAACAATTTCATTTTAAACTTCATATTTCTTTTGGTTGCTTACAGTTAAATAGCAATAAAGTCATGGTCTTAACATCTTACTGCTACCATCATTTGAGAAATGTCTTGTGTCTCCATTAGTTCCCATAACTGGAATTCGTTATTCCTCGGTGCTAATGCCGTAGCTGACGTTATTGCAGAAAAATACAATACGAGCAAATCGAATTTACTGAACACAGTAAGGGCTTTTCTTAATATACTATACCTGATGAAAGATTTGTTTCATTCAATTTTAAAGCTACTAAAGTCAGCATGATCAATAGTGATTTGTTTGTTTTTTTAATCCAAGTACAAAGAGATCTAATGTCAGATTTCTGACTCGTCCAACCTAAAGGAATGATTGATGAAAAGTAGATTTTAATAGCATAAATCGTATGTAAAAATGTGACACATATCACATCATAACTTTTGATTTTCTCATTCACATGCAGCTATACTGAACAGGATTAAGTTATAATTTCATATACTTGTATTTACTAATGCTGTATAAAATAATTTGTTAGATTGAATAGAAGATATTACATGTTCTTGTAGTTATTTGTAAGTTAAAAGTTTTCCCATTCTTTTTCAAGTATTATGTTTAGAAAAACTTCTGTATCATGATGAAATTCTATTTTGTTAGATCATCTGTTGTTGTTTGGCACATACAGTTTTAGAAGAATAACACTGTAATGTTATAAAGTTGCCTTTTAATTTATTTGTTGGTAGGAAACATCTGACAGCGTGGCTGTACGAATGGCATTAGGAGAAACCCAAATTGTCTCCGAAACTCGAGACTTTCTTCTACAGAATAATGTCCAATTAGATGCCTTTAGCCAACCTGCAGCAGAAAGAAGTAAGACCGTAATCCTCGTTAAAAACCTGCCAGCCAACACCAAACCAATAGAAATGAGAGAGTTATTCTCAAAGTTTGGTGAAGTGGCTCGAATAGTTCTTCCACCTACAGGTATAACTTGTATTGTAGAATTTCAGGAACCAGCTGAAGCAAGAGCTGCTTACCAGAAGCTAGCTTATTCAAAGGTATATTAAAATTTTAATTTGCATACATAGAACTTTTTTATTTGATAAGACTTAAATGTAATAGAATGTTGTCATATGATATTCAATAGGAAGTAGTAGTAATAACTGTATGGTTATTCTAGGCCATCTTAACGTACAGAAACAATTAAAACAAAGCCTTGTGTGTTCCCTGTTTGTTTAGGTGACTGAAAAAGTACATAATTAGCCTTTAAAATGTCAATAATATGTTTTAAAACTAACTATTTACTTTTTGTCAGTGCTAGATCTCCTAATATCCCTCTACTTAATGTGTAGGTAGAATTTGTTTGTTGTTGTTATGTCCAGTTTTATCTTTCAAACTTCTGTTTATCTTATATTACAAAGAGTTTTTGTAAAATGTCTTCCCTGGTAGTGAAATTGTGTACTAAAATGATATAATTGTGTTCAACCTACACTTGATATGTGGTTCGGTATTTGGAGCTGAAACCACAAGGGATTATTGGTTTTTACAAAGAGTTATTGTTCCCAAAAGTAAAATCTATGGTTACTTCATTTTTCTTTTTAACTTTTTGAGCTTTTTTCTTTTCAAGAATGCTCCTAATAGTAATATTATATTGTTCTTTAACATGTTACTACACTCACAGTGGGAGTATATATGTTTCTCCATTAGTTTTTAAACATTTTCTAATCCATATATGTACTTAAATTGCTTGTGATTCCATGACTTTGTTTCTCTAAAGATCCCTGATAACATCAGTCACATGGAAAAAATAAAAGTAAATACTGCCAATATTCCAATTAATTCCACTAATTACTGCTGGAATTTCCTATGTATTTTATGCAAAAAATGAGTAACTTTATTCCACTGTTTTGGTCAGTTGTTTGTAATGAACACTGTATCAAGCAAAAATATAAAATTACTCGGCACAATACAACATATGAACTCCAGTGATATTTAATGGCATTTAAAAAGTTGTTAATTTGAAGGCTAAAATAAGCCTCTCCCAAAGATGGGTGTATGATACCTTCATCATCTGATATCCAATTGAGCTATTATAAGCTGCTTTCCAGCTACACTGGTGTAAGATTACTGTAATAAGCACATTGTCTAATATGATACATTATTTGGACCTAGGCCTAATTTAAATGAATAAAGCAAGGCTTAATTATGTTAGCATAAATGTGAGAGAGAGAGAGTGTAAGGTCAGTAGGCCTAGTAATAGTACAGGTGAATAATCATGAATATCATAGAGATTGTAAGGTCAGTAGGCCTAGTAATAGTACAGGTGAATGATCATGAATATCATAGAGATTGTAAGGTCAGTAGGCCTAGTAATATTACAGGTGAATAATCATAAATATCATAGAGATTGTAAGATCGGTAGGCCTAGTAATAGTACAGGTGAATAATCATAAATATAACTTGTATAAAAGAGAGAGTAAGGTCAGTAGGCATAGTAATAGTACGGATGAATAATCATAAATATCAGAGAGATTGTAAGGTCAGTAGGCCTAGTAATAGTACAGGTGAATAATCATAAATATAACTTGTATAAAAGAGAGAGTAAGGTCAGTAGGCATAGTAATAGTACGGATGAATAATCATAAATATCAGAGAGATTGTAAGGTCAGTAGGCCTAGTAATAGTACAGGTGAATAATCATAAATATCATAGAGATTGTAAGGTCAGTAGGCCTAGTAATAGTACACGTGAATAATGATAAATATAACTTGTATAAGAGAGAGAGTAAGGTCAGTAGGCCTAGTAATAGTACAGGTGAATAATGATAAATATAACTTATATAAGAGAGAGAAGGTAAGGTCAGTAGATCTAGTAATAGTACATGTGTCAGATAGCCATAGTAGTTGTTGCCATAAATACAAAATTACAAATAAATATGCATTCATACTTATAATGAATAGAACACACTGTTTGCTAGTTGAGTACCATTGTTGTTAGAGTGATTTATGTCCATAAAGGTTAGCTTGTAATGATATGTAGATAGGAATCATTTACTTAAAATTAGTATTTTGTTTTAAAACACTTTGCAAGTTTTACGTCACTAAGACACGTAGGTGTTTACTTAACAGTTTCATCATGTCCCTTTGTACTTGGAATGGGCACCAGTAAACACGTTCTCTGTGCCTGCAAAGGTCAAGAAGGAAGAAGAACTGAATGAGGTAAAAATACAAACATTTCATTAATGTAAACAATTTAAATCTCAGATTAATGCAGGTAGAATGAATTATGAAAGGTTGTAAAATTTAGTAATAAATTCTAGTGAGGAGAAAGGAACAACAGTTAATTTTGGTTAGGTAATTTAATTCTTTTTGTCTGTTTTTAAAAATCTACCCCTAACATTAGTGTGTAAGTAGTTAAAATGTAAAGACTGGAAGGACAAAAAGGGACAATGGAAAAACTTTGTTTGAGTTTATGGTTTAAAGTTCTAAACATTTACTGACTCGGATAACAGTACTGCTTTAAAATTAACAATGTTTTTCCATTTCTGAGGTTAATAACTAAACAGTAGTTTTCTGGTGATAAGAACTTACACAAGAAATTAATTGTTTAATGTTCTGGTTTTAGTTTACAATTATTTGTTTTACATTAATAATTAGAATTAAATGTCATTAGAATTATAGAACTGAAGAAAACAGACAGTTGTACATTTCATAAATATTTAACTTATTACACTCCTCCTCCCCACTTGCTTCAGGGTAAGTGTCAAAGTTACTTGTAGTTTGTTTTGGCCAAACACACATACCTGTTTACGAGTTGTTTCAATCTCTACCTTCACTGGCAAAACAGTAATAAATAAAATATTTGTGAAATGTAAAAATTGTTTTCCTCAATTCTGTAATTATAGAGTTTTTACCACGTACCAATGATTTCAAGATCTTACTATACTGATAGAATTCATCATGTTATGATTCGCATTTTGATTTTATCATCTGGTCAGCAGACTGGTGTCAGTCCTTGAACATGCTTTTGTTGGACTACAAAAACTTGTAATGTGTGTGTGTGTAAATCTTTTTAAATAAATATCCATATTACTAAACTTCTAAATACTTTGAGGCTTGTTTTTAAATTCTGTGTATAACCATGTACATATTGTGTGCTTTATATTTATTGATCATGTACTTTACTTATGGGTCTATACACTCCTGATTATCACCGAGCAGTTAAGCTAGACTTTGTTGGTCTGTGGAGTTAAAAAAAAAAGGGAATTACTGGTTTAAATTTGAATAACATCATATAAACAGGTTTTAGTAGTTCAGATTCTCTGGTTGCTGCATTTAAATAAAAGTTATATTTTTGTGTCTTTATTTGGTAGTTTACAACTCAGTTTATGTTCAAAAGGTATGACACTCTACAGTATTTTGTTTATCGTATATAAATTACTACATAAAAACCACTGGAAATTAATTCTAAAAGGAACAACCTGAAGATGAAAACAAGAGAAACCATGAAAGTGAGTCAAATGTGAATCCAGAAGAACTGGCTGACGAAGTTGAAGAACCAGACCCAGATACAACTCTTTTTGTGAAGAATCTGAACTTTGATACAACAGAAAAAACACTGACTGAGGTAATTTTATAAGTATGGTAATATTTGGTATATTACAGCTTTATACTTTGTGGAAAACTAAAACGATATTACCGAACATGAGGGTTTAAAAAACGTTTTGTTAGATTAGTGCTAATTGAAAGGAAGAATAACCTTATTCTTCAGCAAAAGAAACAATGTTAGACATGAGCTTTTTCCTCGATTTCCGTGAATTTTATTTTATGTAGAATAACATTCTTAAGTACAGTAGTTATTGCAACAGTCCCTTGATTCAGTTCGTGTTAAACATGTGAAATTTGCTTATAAATGCATCTTTTCCTTTGTTGTTGTTGTGGGACATATGAGTACCATAAGTAGGTTTAGCTTGCGTGATAAATGTTAATAAGATAGGAGCCGAGGCTTGAAATCTCCATTTGCATACCCCATGTATCTTGCGTAATTACAGTGATGGACTTTGAACATTTTTTGGAAACCAATCTATGCAGATGAGCAAATCAGAACACAAGTCAAACCCAGGAGTGCACTCTGGTGGCCACTTTGCTGTTTCTGTCAGGAGACATGTTTTCACTGCTGGTTGCCAGAATGCTGGGAGTGTTTGCCATGTGATGGGTTTTCCAAAACTTGTACCATAGTTGTTCTTCTAGATATGTAAGCGTGGGCCACTAATGCAAGGGTTAACTTTGAAATGTTTGAGAGCCCCACGCCAATGAAGGCCGTCGAAAGGAAAGATGCAAACACAGTGCAGAAAACAGGTGTGTCAGTAAAGAACAAATAGAATTGGGCTTGGTTTTAAAGAAAAAGTTGTTACTGATATCAACAAAATTTTGTCTAAAACAAAATGGTTGAAAGGGGAAAATTCAGTATTTTTTTTAAGATTCTAATGAAAAATTATTGTTAGTTATCCAAAAGCTACTTTTATCTTTAGAAAGCCCCCCAGTGGCATGTCTTCGGACTTACAATGCTAGAAACTAGGTTTCGACACCTTTGGAATCATTGTGTAGCTTTGAGCTTAATTACAAACAAACAAACAAAATCTTTAGAAAATAGAATTCCGATCCATTTCTCTGTTAGATATAATGTTGTAATTCATTTGGGTGCAGTAGAGCATTCAGTACAGTCAGAGTCTTGCAGTTGTGTATTGGAATGTATCTCAAATTTGTTTTTTCATCTTAAAAACCCTCAAGTTACATATGTATTGGGTTAAAATGTAATCTATCAATGTGTAAAGCAATTAGGTAGACTGCTCACAGTGACGTTATATAGAAAGTAAATGCTGTGTTAAGTAGAAAAGCAACATGTTTGTTGTTACATAAAAAAAGGTAACGTGCTGCATTGTTAAGTCAAACTGTAACATGCTGTGTTCTTTTTTTGTGTTGTAGCACTTTCAGAAATGTGGGCCTCTTCACAGTGTGTCAATTGCGAGGAAAAAAAATGTCAAAAATCCAGGTAACAAACGATTTTTTTGTGGAATATTTACCTTTGTATTTAGTTTAATTTTCCTGTTAATTATTGTCTCTTGAACTAAAAATTGGAATAATTATATCTTGCATTTCTCTAAAAATTCAGTAGATGATACGAAGTTTCCGTTTTTTTTTAAAACGGGTGCAGTAATTATGTAAACAAAATTTGTAAGATACATTTTTGTTATATTAAGAGGTATAAGTTAAGTATGAGTTTCTTGAGTTGGGGAAAAAAATGAATTGTTTAATATAAATAGAGAATTTTAAATTGTTCGAGTGCATGTACCATTCCAAACTTGAAACTGGATACATTTAACGAACGAGGTGGTGTCAATGAGCGAAAACTGAAAAATCTATCAGAAGAAGTTCCAGCTAAGAACTTTCTTTCATGACCTGAAATACCTCTTCGTTTTTGTTTTGAAGTATACTTTTGGTTTTTATTGTACATCGCAAGATTATGGATTGGCACTAGTTTTTTTTTTTAGAAGGTTATTAAGTCACGAGAAGCTGAAACGGTTTTCTGCATCCGTTCTTTATACTTCCCATTTTTCTCACTAGATAAATGCTTCTTATAGTTCGGTGCGTGATGAAATGTGAGTCAACTTTCACTTAAACAAACGGTTTCATTTTTTAGGATGAGAAGAGCAGTTGAAAAAACTAAAGTTGTACGTGTATAGAAAACTATACTAAACACGGGGGTAGTTATTGAAATTGGTAAAACTGTTTCCTTTTTTTACTTCAGGGTGTATTTCAATTCTGTATGTGTGGACCCAAAAATATAGTCGGGTTTGTGATTATTTGTAGACATTCATGGCATTTTGGAATCATTGATTTTGTTAGGTGTTTTTAAGCTGTTAGATATAATTTTATGTATGGTATATGTGTTACAAATCTGTAACATTTTCATTCTATATGTAAATAAAATTTATCAACTAGAGATTTTTTCATCCAGACATTTTATGTGGAACTTGAAACAATGCAAAATAAGTCTGTCGAAAAAGGAACGAAATACAACTTTAAGGTATCAGACAGACAGACATGAATCTCATAAAAAAAAATGTGTATATGATCCACACACATCGGTACTGTGTATCTGATCCACACGCATCGGTACTGTGTATCTGATCCACACACATCGGTACTGTGTATCTGATCCACACATCGGTACTGTGTATCTGATCCACACGATCGATACTGTGTATCTGAACCACACGCATCGGTACTGTGTATCTGATCCACACATATCGGTACTGTGTATATGATCCACACACATTGGTACTGTGTATCTGATCCACACGCATCGGTACTGTGTATCTGATCCACACACTCCCCTACTGTGAGAAACAAGAAAGAAGTATGTACATATTTGTTTTGTAGGACTTGTTTGTGTTTTTCTTTGCAGGTGATATGCTTTCCATGGGATATGGTTTTGTTCAGTTTAAACATAAAGATTCTGCAAAAGAAGCCATGAAGGAACTACAACATTCTTTGTTAGACGGCCATGCTCTCGAGCTGAAGCTTTCACATCGAGCCACGCAGTAAGTAAGCTGGTTTGTGTTAGAGTTTTTCCACGTTGCTGTGGTACGAGGATATTCTTAAAATACCCGTAGAAAGCGATCATCATTAATCTAAGGGACATGCAAAAGTTTGTTTTTAATCGATCTATCTGTCTATAATGTACGCATACGCACATTCGTTAATGACATGAAGCCATATCTATAGATTTGAATTTCTAAACTCTGGATATTAATTGTTCTATAAAAGGTTTTTTTTCAATAAAAGTCAACAGCAAAACATTGTGAAGTTTGAAACAAAAGTTTTCATTAAATTAGGATTTTTTTTTTTTTAACATTTAAAGTCACTTTTAAGGTGAGACAGAGGGGAATTATCACGCAGCAATTTTCTACGAGTCTTGAGTTTTACTTTTGATAGAGGAACATGAAAAGATACTGAGAGCATAGTTGTTAATTATACATTTTATTTTGGGTCTGGGTACGATCATCACTTAGAAAACTTGAGGTTTTTTACTAGTGCAACAACATTGATTAAAAACTATTTTAAGGCTAAACTTCCAGCCTTAAAAAACATCATATCGGCAAGATTTTTGAATGCTCTATAGTAAAAGAAAGATAACTATGAAATCGAACCAGTAATTGTTCACCAATTTAAGATTGGAAAAGAAATCGTTAAAAATTTATGTAAAACAACAAAAGAATATTAAAAATGTGAATTTGTTGATGAAAAGAATATAAAATAGTTTAATAGACTACATCGTTATTAATTAAGCTTTCTCTCTGATTCTTGTGTGTATTGCTTTAGTAACGTGTCCATCTAGGCCTAATGGTTTTAACTTGATATTCGTCCTGCTGTTGTAAACTTTTCCAGTTCTTTTCATCAATAGATTTTAAAATAAATAACTTGTATATTAGTATCTGACTTCCTTGCCTATTGAATTTATCACACATCTTCTCATTAATCCAAATAACGTATTTTAATGGTTTATATTGCAATGATCTTATCAGGTGAATTCATCTTTTATTCTTTGCACAGACCAACACCAACTACATCAAGAAAAAAAGTCAAAGTCTCCAAGCAGAAAAGCACCAAGATCTTAATACGTAACATACCTTTTCAAGCAACTAAGAAGGAAGTTCAGGAACTTTTCAGGCATGTGTATCTTTTTTTAAAGGAAGATCAGGAACTTTTCATTCATGTATCTTTTTTTAAAGGAAGTTCAGGAACTTTTCAGGCATGTGTATCTTTTTTTTTAAAAGGAAGTTCAGGAACTTTTCAGGCATGTGTATCTTTTTTTTATCTTATGATCTGTTAATTCTTTTATTGTTGATATTTCTAAACATATGATGTATTCTATTAAAATACTGTGCTGTTTAAACATAAACAGCAGCTGCAGACGTTCCTTATCTACAATCTTTGATAAACTGGTGAGAAGTTAAATGTCTAGAAACTAGCTGTCATTGGTTGAAGAATTTGTCTTTTTGCGTGATAATAGGGATCTTCTATTTTACTTAAAAAATTAGAAATTATTTGTATATTAATAAAAGCGGGTAACTATCTTGTTTTATCATCTCATTTCTTTAGCTGGTTGATGGCAGGGGTGAAAAAAAGTGACAGATTTTCTCCTTTCTAAATTTTTCTTGAGTGACATCTTCTCGTGCCCTTGTTTTCAACTTGTTTGTAAGTGTTAGTGAACAACACTGGAAGACCGCATCAAAACAAGACAACATCTTAACTGACAAATGGGGAAATAACTTGAACAAAACAGAAAGTAAATTAAGCAAATTTAAACCTGCAGTGCAAAAGGTGAAAAACAAGACATTTTATAATTACATCATTGAACCTTTTCTGAAGAAACAAACTACCTCGGTTCTTCGTCTTCATGAGGAAATTTTGGTCCTTCAGGCCAAACATTCCTTCTTGACATCACGAAGAACTTTTTACAAGTAGATAAAAATATGTTCACAAGGAAATTTTAAATAGAATAAAGAAAGTTTTTGTTCCATTGATTCAAAAATTTCCTCATTTGCTTTTAGTCCTAGAGAAACTTACTCACATTTATGGTATCGGGATACACTATTTTTTTCACATATCGGCGAGTTGAAGGGGTAGTATTCTTTGTTTCGTTTCGGGTTAAATCCAGGGTGGGTCAGCAAAACTCTTTAATTCACGACACTGGTCTGTGTTATGAAACTTATTTTAGAGGTTAAGGTAACGAGTTTCCTCTTTATTGTGTATTATGTCTAATGAGAGAAAAAAAAAAAGAGACAGTGATTTAGACTTTTCAACCAGCAGGAATCTTACAGTGTCCTCAGAAAATGAAAACTATTTATATGTCTTGCATTATTTTAGTGTTCTTCGGAAATTGGAAAAAAAAATCAGTAATATTACTATCGTATGTATTTATTATCCTTGAGAAATTTAAAACCAGTTATTTGTTTATATTATTTTTAGCGTGTTTGGAGAACTGAAAGCTGTTCGATTACCAAAAAAATTTTCAGGAACAGGAACACACAGAGGTTTCGGCTTCGTAGATTTCCTGACAAAGAACGACGCAAAGGTGAGAAAACTTGAGGCCAATTTACTGCATCCTCTATTTTCAGATGCCACTCCCAAAGAACCTCCACAATTTTTTTTTAGTTTTAAAATATTCAACTGTAGTGTAATCTAATTTGAAAGGCTTCTCTTATTATTTTATTTTTTTTAAGGAAAATGTGCCTACATGAACTTTTAATTTATTACTTTTATTAAAGAAAGAATAATTTTTACTCTGCAAGTTTTCAGTTTACTTTACTTAGAGTAAAAGTGGTTGAAATTGGCAAATGATATTTCAATTTCGAGGCAATAAATTTATTTAAAAGATATTCTAAAATCTGTAAAACCTTTACTACAAAACCACACACACACACACTGCATTTTGGAGCCAGGGGTGCAATATGAGACGGCAATTAAGTCCCATATCTCGGTCTAACAAGAGCAGTCCAAAAGCTGTCGGTGCTCGATGTTAACTAGTTTCCTTCCCTCTAGTCTGTATCACTTAAAATTAGGGACGGATGTCTCTCGAGCAGCTTTGTGTAAAATTTAACAAACAAACAAATCGTGCTTTGAACTCTTCAGTCCACAACCTGACATGATATACACTGGGGAACACCTGGCCTATATTTATTAAATCTTCGTGCCAGTTGATAGAAACGTACAAGTGAAGAATGCTTTAAATTTCAGGTAAGATTTAAAAAAAAGTTAACTTTTATGATTTAAATTAATTAAGAGCATTATAAGTTTATTTTAATTAAGCAAACAGTTTTACATATACAGAATTTTATACAATTATATTTTGTTTCTAATTTAGTACTACCTAGGACCAAAGGGGGAATATTAAAGCCTGAATGCCTAGTCAGCTAAAAAAAAAACATGGGGCCCTGGTGGGCTCTATTCATACCAATATTATAGATCAAGCAAGTCAAATAATTTCAACAGATAGCTGAATAAATTGATAGACTTAATAAATAAAATGAAATAAACTAGTTAAAGTAATGTATTTCTGAAAAAACAACAACATTATATATATATATATAAAGGGGTCCAGCCTAAAGAGGAGCCCAGGCAGCTTTAACTGACCGTTAAATCCGCCCCTGTTAGAACCTTGCATTGATCAATAGAAGGTGCAATGAATCAAAATAAAAACAAAGTATGCTGAGAAACTAACTTTTATAATAATATAGCTGGTGTAAACTACCAGATGGCACTTTATAATACTATAGATGGTGATTCTACTTAATAATTGTCTTGAGTTTGTGAGATTAAACCCATCCGGAATGGCACGTAGGAACCAATGCCGATCTCTGGTTGTAGTGGCATAAGCGGATGACAATGGTAACACATTCCCGCTTTGATGGTAATGCCAGTCCATCAGAAATTAACCCCCACCCCCACCACCACCATTAGTATCCATTATACTAAAACAATTAAAGTAAAAAAGTCTTGCTCAAGGTCACAACAGGTCACGAGCAAGTCTTGAATTTGTAAACTTCGGACGACGAAACAAAATGTAAGATTTGATAAAATGGTTTTATTTATTTATTTATTATGATTTTTTTTTTTATGTATATATTCCAGAGGGCGTTTAAGGCACTTTGTCATAGCACTCATCTTTATGGTCGCCGTCTGGTGTTAGAATGGGCAGATACTGACGACACTGAAGTGGAAACATTGCGTAAAAGAACAGCGGAACATTTTCATGATGGTAAATTTTATTAGTAACACATTGTGTAATTTCAAACTTAATTATAAAGGTTTTATTTAGACTGTTTATAAGTTAATGTAAACTTTAAAAAATTCACATTGTTTAAAGTTCTAGAACTTTTTGATATTATTTTTGTGCCATTTTTTCTTTAAGGAGCTCTAAATCTTGAAAGCTGTTTCAACCTAATATTGTTAATATAATTTTTATAGGACAGATGGCGCTAGCTGTCAAAAATGTATTTTGAATATGTAACGTCGAAAGAACATGTATATAATATCATAACTTTGAACAGAAAAATATGATTTTTTTTTATCTTGCTGATAATTGTGTTTATTCGGGTAATAGAAATTGCAAGTATTCACATTAGATGTCAACAGAACAAAAGTAAAGAAGGGCATTTTTAAGGTCGATCAAGAAACTTTATTATTTTACCTTTCAACCCCATCTAGTGACAGTTTCAAGCATGACAACTACGTTATTTTTGATTATATATATATTTCGTTTTTTCTGGCTATAGAAAAAACAAAAACCCATATGAAAAAGTTATGTTTTTAATTAGATTATTCTATTTTTCTTCTCCAAAATATTTTCGCCGGAACTCAGATAATGTGGTAGCGACATAAGAAAAAAAGTAAAAAAATCAAATAAATTTGCTTCTATGAGTTATAAGAATTTGACTTTTGTGAAGGGTTCCTGCTAAAAAAAAAAAGACTGTCCCTAATTTTTAATTACTGACTAATCAGCAGCCCTACCATGTTTATTGATCGACTGTCACTCTTATGAAGCACCAACAGCTTAAAGTGTGAGGAGTATTTTGTGTTATCACGCGGATTCGAACCCGGAGGCTCGTAAGCTCCAAAATCGAGGACCAATTTACGTCCGATTATATGAAGTATTTAACTGAGCGACAGAAGACCGACAATTTTCATTATATATTTTGTTATAAATCTAATTGTTCGAATTTTTGGACAGAAGGTTGACAGTTTCAGTTACTGCGGGTCGCGGGTTCGAATCCCCGTCCCACCAAACATGCTGACCCCTTTCAGCCGTGGGGGCGTTATAATGTGACGGTCCAACCCACTATTCGTTGATAAAAGAGCAGCCCAAGAGTTGGCGGTGGGTGGTGATGACTAGCTGCCTTCCCTCTAGTCTTACACTGCTAAATTTGGGACGGCTAGCGCAGATAGCCACCCGTGTAGCTTTGCGCGAAATTCGAAACAAACAAACAAACAATCTCAGTTACTTATAGTATTAAACATGAGGTTATAACATACGGTAACGGATTAGCAACGCCCCCTGGTGGGACAGCGCTAAGTTCACTGACTTGCAATGCTAAAATTCGGGGTTCGATTCTTAACAACGGACACAGCAGATAGCCCATTGTGGCTTTGTTCTAAAAACAAACAAACAATGATTAGCAAAAACAACGTCTGAAATGGGTGAGAGAAAGCGTATGTAGACCGAATTAGTTAGTGTCTCGGAGTGTGTAACGTAACCCTAAACAGATTACGGTTTGTTTTTTTTCATTCACGGGGGTGTCATTGACCAGTAACTAGAACTAACATGTAATAAGGTTAATTTTAAAAAACAATGAACTGATAAAAACAGACATCGTTGCTATCGAAAGTTTCTAACGCACAGAAGGCAACACTTGGTTACGTGTTGCTACATCCCCCGCGACTTTTCTGTGTTTGTTTTGATATAGTGGCCGCTTTGCTTATAGAGGAACAATTCATACTTGACCCGAGTATTCTTCACGAATTAAATAGGCTTCGTGATGGGAAAATATCATAAGAACCTCAACGGTTGAGACAGAGAGAGAATTATAAGTGTTAATTCATGGTAACATTCAGAGTCGTATGGACAGTAAATCTGGTTGCTAGATCTGGAACGGTTTTTCGTCGTGTCAACAACAAGAGTTGTGGTTTAGTTAGTTACTAATGTTGCCCATCGTATACTGGTGGAAGTAGAGCTGTAGTTACTAATGTTGCCCATCGTGTACTGGTGGAAGTAGAGCTGTAGTTACTAATGTTGCCCATCGTTAAATATAAAGAGATAACAATAATTTCGGTTTCAGAATGTTTCGTTAAAACAACGAGGAAGGTTTTTAACGGTATGCTTGACAGCTTGAATAGTAATTCCACGTTAGAGAGAGTCTCTTGATGTAGAAATATCAGTTAAGACTACTTTGTAGGAGCGTATGTATTTGAGGATGTGCATCACGTGCTTTTGGATGATGACGATTTGCGCGGAACCTCTCCTCGGTTATGTGTTGTTCTCATCCTCACTGATTAATCTACCCCCCCCCCTTTCTTCTCTATTAAGACTTCCTCCCGTTTGTTTCATATTATCCAGCTGAATGATGATAAAATGAAAAACCAGATTGCATTGTTTGACCTCCGTAGAGAGCACGAACTGTCGCGATTGTCATTTCCACGCGCGTTCTTCCAACCACCAAAGAAGGAGGGTGTCTCCAGCGTTGTTGCCACGCCGCCGCGTTATGCACGGAAAGTTTTTTTTCTTTTCAGCGACGACAACAACAACAAAACTACTCGTGTTGCACGTGGCTCGAGAATGATAGAAAGATTGAAACGACCACCGAAGGAGAAAGCACCACAAACTCAGAAATCGGGTTCCGGATGTCAAATGTACAGTTTAGCGTGTCATGTAGAGCTGGCTGGCACGTGACATTCGAGAATCAGAAAGTAATTGTATTTCGAGTCAATCGACCGTGCACGCGTATGTAGTACGTACGTTTAAAGTTACTGACTGTGATATATTTTTATACAAGGCTTAGGACACTTTTATTAATATTATTATTAATAATTTTTTTTTTCCGTCGCAAAACTTAGTCGCGCCCCCTTTTTTTCAATCTATTTATTAGAAAACAATTTCTCGACTGGGATTCTGTTACTATTGAAAGTTCCCAGTCAACAATAAGTTTATGTTACTTACTACTCTAAGGAAGGATGTGTGATTGGTCGATTCTACCGAAACCTTTTTTTTTTCATTCTTTCCCTAATGGTATTGGTTTTGTTTTAATCCATTAATACGCCACCATCTCTTGAATTGGACTGGAGAGCTTCCCCTCTAATCTTAATTCCTTTAAGGATTAAAATCGATTTATTTAAAGGTCATTTTTCTGCTTGTTCCTCTTCAGGTCCTCTTTCGAAAGGAGTAAAGAAATCCTCACTGATGGCGGAGTTAGTTGGCTGAAAGTGTGACGTCAAGACAAAAGTGTAAGTTGTTTATAGGACGAATATTGAACAATTAAATCTGTTACTCGGATCACCTCTCACGCGCGCTGACGATAACCGAAAAAAACAACAAAAAACACGTTGATAAATATATAATTTTAGTTTTACCCCCCCTCTACCTCTAAATGTTCTAACGTGATTCACGTTGGCCCTAGATTAGAAGAATATTTTAACCTTCACGTGAATGTAGATATACGTACTTAATTTCATAAACCAGGTTGGAAACAAATGAAAAATGAATAACGTGTTTTTTTGGTTTATGTAGATCTGTGTTACTTGATAATTTACAGCTGCCGGTTTGTTTACAGCTTGATTTGCCTTACAACGACTTTGTTTTTACAGTTTGTTTACGTCTGAAACTCTTAAAGAAAATCCGTGACGTACTTTTAAATGTTGGTTTCATGTAACAAATGTTCGACCCAAATCAACGTAAAACATAGACAGAACCGTGGGGCACGAGCCTCTTCTAATTATGACGCGGTATCGATGTGCCCTTTGAATGGAGAAGAGAGACTTGTTTAAGTTTTGAATTCAGTGATCACTGTTAGCTTAGCAGATAAAGTGCCCCAGTCGCCGGTGCCTCCCCACCCCTACAACTTGAACATAGCAGAATCCAGGAGCTCACAGGTTCCATACAACACCCCTCGTCAAAATGCACGCATACAAAGAAAAGTTATAATAGTCCATAGGATCTATATTATGCCCTACACACTTGTTTGATGATCAAATACGAGTAGAAACAAATTGTAGAATAAGAAGAAAGTGGAAACTAAAGAGCTGTTATAATTTTGGATTACTGAATAATTCAAGGAGGGGTGAGAAAGAAAAAAGGAACAGCGCTTGATATTGTTGAATGATTCAAGGAGGGGTGGGAAGGGAAAAAAGGTACAGCCCCTGAGATTATTGAATAATTCAAGGAGGAGTGAGAAAGAAAAAGGAACAGCGCTTGAGATTATTGAATAATTCAAGGATAAAAAGAACAGCGCTTGCTTCATTATTGTCTTAAATCTGAATAATTTCTTTTCCTTTTCACTTTCAAGTTTCTTCATTTTATGTCCATAGCTTTTAATTAAATTATGGTGAAATAATCATTACCAACTCGTATTCCATATTCTTTATGACATTTTCACTATTATCATTATTGTGTGTTAATTTTTATATTAAGAAGAAGAATTTATGTCGTTTATAACATTAGTTTATACATATACGTGGCGCGTGGATTTAGGGCTAGCTTGAATCTCATAAAATGGCCGAACGTAATGAAATGTTATTAGGATTACGGCCGAAAACATCGTTAATAACGAGGTAAGCTAGTGGTGTTCTAATAATTTTTTCTTGTATATTACGTATATCTTGTCGGATTTATATATATCTGGTTTATTTAGTTAGTTTACTTTGACCAGGAGTTGTTAATAACTTATTTTTTTATTTAATTTTTTTTTGTTAACCCAGTTTTTTATATATTTTATTTTTTAGGTTGTTGGACTTCGTTCTCTGACATCATTTCTTATTTCACCAATCCAGCAACCGGGGTCATCCTTTTAACATTCTCAACCAACACCGTTACTGATGTACAGTTAATGTATAAAGGTAGTTATCCTGAAGAAACATACAATAAATGCATTTTTTAATTTGAAAATACACTTGTGTCGACTTGATTTCTAAAGTGAACGATGTTATTTTATAGATTTTACAATCTGGCTTCAAAGCTCACACGTGGATTATTCTTTTAATAGTGTTATTCCAAATGCTCGTTAAGATTGCAACCGTTGATCAGAAGAATCTGAATATAACAAACTCTGAGTTTTAAACTACTCACTATTGAAGAACGAGGCTTAACTTCTATAATTTTTTGTTTCGTTATTATAGTTTGCTCATTCCAGACGTTTTCATTTAAAAAAAAATAAGAGGGTAGTGACTCAAGGCCTTGCATGGGTTCCAGATAAATTGAGATGGGTGTACGAAGAAATCTGACAAGATAAAACCTTTCTAGACAGTGGAATAATAAAAATTTGTTATTAATTTGTAAGGTGCCCACGAATCACGTATCTAAATAATGTAAGATCACGTGCTATCTCCATAACAAGATGGAGCTGATAATACAACTACGTATGTCACAGCTGCCTTTTTGAACGTGTTTGGCGGTGCTGCCATCTGTTGGATGTCATATTTATTGCATATTTTACTCTTTTTTTTTTTTGCTTTCACTCTCAAGTTGTTATAGTTGTATCTTTGTATCTGCTCGAGCTGTGTCAAGTGAATATTTGAATTGTCAATGTCCGTAACTCTCAAAGCTTGGAAGGAATTTATTGACGAGTTGTAAGGTGTTGCTATCCGTACGAAAAATAAATTAATTTTCCAAACGAGTGAGAAAGTAATAAAATATGAACCATTAATTTAAATCTAGTGAAGTTTTAAGCGAAATATCGCGTGATTTTTTTTCTCTCTTTTAATGACAGTTATTTTTTATTTATTTATTTTTTTCTTAAAGTTTTTTCGTTACAACTTTCGTTTCTAGAAATTCATTAAGCCTTGTTTTCACTGAACAATGTCGTCTGTTCAAACTGTGTGTGAGAGAGAGAGAGAGACACCTGTCAAACAATTCTTGAGTTTCGGAATAAAAATGGCGGCGAAAATATAAAACATTTGTGTAGTTTATGTTTCGTGGAAAATAAATTAGCTTCCCAACCAAATATTTATCAAGGCTTCTAAATCATTACAAAATATGTGATATCATTGAAGTCTCGTTTGAAAACGTGACAACTTTAGTAGATGATCCTGTGTGCTAACTTCTTAACCAGGATTTACATCATTAGAGATTATGATAATTGTTTTGTGCCTAATTTACTTTTTTATCGCTACAAAAAATGTTTTTTTTTTGTAGTATTGAATCTACTCGAAAGGACATGTAACGATAGGGACGCAAGATATCTGTGATTCTAGTACAGATTTGTCTCCGAAGCGCGTGAAAATAAACGAAGGAAAAAAAAAAAGAAAGAAGATATTTCTTTCCCCTCAGGAACTTATTGGTATTAAAGTAAACTAAACCCCCATTCTTTGTTGATGAGATCGCCTATTTCGGTCCTCCCCTGGTGGTCAGGAGCCGTGAATAGAGTTCAATAACGATCGATCTCGATAACAGACCAACCAGTCAAGACCGGATGATTGTTCAAACAGCATTGAACTGCTATAGAGAAGAGCACGATCAATGTATCAAGCAGATTGCTTATCAGTGATAGAAACCTTACGTAAAGCGGCAGGTCGCACGAGCAAATTAAGCGTGCTCTCGTTTAGCTAGAGCGCCATCTGTTTGTTTTTTTTTACATTAAAGAAATTGGGAATTTATATAGTATCTTAATGGTTTAAACGTTTAATGACGCGATCGTTGCCTGAGGCATGCGACCTATTCTTTGTACACATCACCATAACAATGGCGATTGTCTTGTTTTGTTTTTAAGGGAAAACTCCGAGATTTTGATGATATGGGTGGGTATTCATCCTTGACGTATCACATAGTTCAGCTGAGATATCTTTTCGAAAGGAAAGTGCATCACCTTAAACACGAAAGCTGAGACAGCGGAATAAAATAAAATGACTCGTTTACGTTCAGCCAGTAACGAATAGTTCTTAACCAAGTTCTCTGAAGGATGAATTAATTGAGTTTTTTTTTGTACAAAAGTACTTTGCTGATCTGGTCTTGGGTGCAGCCCTCACACAGCAACTTTGATTAATGTTCTCTCTGATAAATAAAACAAAAGCCACTAGTGTGTTAAGGCGGGATTCGTGAAAAAGGGGGGAACTTCACCGAGTTATCCCACGGCTGTGAACTGAAGAAATATAAATAATAACAAAACTATGGGAGGATCATCGTTTTCCTCTAGTGGCAGGTGTGTTAACTACATAGTTTCCCCGCCCACTCCACGGGGAGAGGGGGAGGAGTTAATCTTGGCCCAAAAACGCGGTGTCCTTTTGCTGGAACTCGTAACCAGGTGATAGGATCAGTGCTAGGTGGCGGACTTGTAATGGAGTGATAGACGATGAGGAAAATCGCCACTCCTGCATGCGGCGTGTGGTTGGACATTGACGAATGACGTAATTCAGCACAAGCTGGAACTGCCACCATTTTATCGCTCTTGTCTGTGGAATATACAGGAGGAAGTTTCATTTTGCTCAGAAAGAACGTGTACGAGTCATTTAGAAAGATTTATCTTTTAAGTACAAGTGTTATGCGTAATAAAAACCCAATGTAGTGATAGAAGCATGTGGATGATATCATGTCATGATATCACGCAAGATGTTGTTTAAGTGTTATTGTTGTCTGGATATTGATAAACCAACTCATCACTGTTGTCTTTTTCATCACTCTGGATCATTATTCTTGTTCGGTTTTTCTTAATTGTTAATTTTATTGAGTATGTTTGTATTATTGATCTTGGTGTTGGTGTTCCAATTTTCCTTATCTATTGTTATATATCTGTGTTCTTCATCTTGGTGTTGGTGTTCCAATTTTCCTTATCTATTGTTATATATCTGTGTTCTTCATCTTGGTGTTGGTGTTCCAGTTTTCCTTATCTATTGTTATATATCTGTGTTCTTCATCTTGTTGTTGGTGTTCCAACTTACCTTAATTATTGTTATTGAGTATATCTGTGTGCTTCATCTTGGTGTTGGTGTTCCAGTTTTCCTTATCTATTGTTATATATCTGTGTTCTTCATCTTGGTGTTGGTGTTCCAATTTACCTTAACCATTGTTATTGAGTATATCTGTGTGCTTCATCTTGGTGTTGGTGTTCCAGTTTTCCTTATCTATTGTTATATCTGTGTTCTTCATCTTGGTGTTGGTGTTCCAATTTTCCTTATCTATTGTTATATCTGTGTTCTTCATCTTGGTGTTGGTGTTCCAATTTTCCTTATCTATTGTTATATCTGTGTTCTTCATCTTGGTATTGATGTTCCAATTTTCCTTATCTATTGTTATATATCTGTGTTCTTCATCTTGGTGTTGGTGTTCCAATTTTCCTTATCTATTGTTATATATCTGTGTTCTTCATCTTGGTGTTGGTGTTCCAATTTTCCTTATCTATTGTTATATCTGTGTGCTTCATCTTGGTGTTGGTGTTCCAATTTCCCTTATCTATTGTTATATCTGTGTTCTTCATCTTGGTGTTGGTGTTCCAATTTTCCTTAACTATTGATATATCTGTGTTCTTCATCTTGGTGTTCCAATTTTCCTTTTCGTCAACAGGTTGTTTGCCATTGCATGTCGAGCGTTACAAAAAGTTTTCTGGTTCGAAACGCCATTTCGCTCATTTAAATGTAATTGAAAATTAGAATAGCGGAAAAAGAGGGCTTGTTTGTTTCAGAATTTTCGTGCAAAGCCACGAAAAGAGTTATCTCTCAAAGTCGTCCCTAATTTAATTTTGAATTAATAGACTAGAGGGAAAGCGGCTTGTCAAAAGTACCTATTGAAATTCTTCGGCTACTCTTGAAAAAAAAAAGGTTTATTTACAGTGTTATTTTAAACCACCCCTTATGTAATTTCAAATATCTTCGCCGTATGTTATGTTCTTATCACTCTAGATTTTTTCTTCACTGGTTAATGACAGTTTCTTTATCATTACTTTACGAGCCTCATTTACTAAAGTCCTCATAAAAAGAAGACGCCAATAAAGGAGGGGACACGCGATACAATTGTTTCATTTCTAAATGTCTTTGTAACATTTCTTTAGTACTAACTGTATCATATCAGCCCTATAGTTGTAACAATTGTATAATAACTTTTGCTCCACCTTGTATAGAGGTCGCTAGAGTGCTGTGTTGTGTTTGCTTATTTAGCAATAATAAAAATAAAATAAAGTTAACGTTTTGTTGTCCTAAAAACTATATTTACTTGTACAGGGTGAGGATTAAAAAAGTCATTTTTTCTTTTAAAAAGCATCAAAGTTTCGTTTTGCCCTCACATTTTTATACCATTGAATCAATGGGCTTATTTACGCTGTGCCCACCACAGGAATTGAATCCCGAATTTTAACGATATAATTCCTTAAACTTACCGTAGGCCTGGCGGTTAAAGGGCGCTCGACTCGCAGTCTGCAGGTCGCGATTTCGAATCCTGTCACCGAACATGCTCGCCTTTTCAGTCGTGGGGTCATTGTAACGTGACGGTACGGTAAAAGAGTAGCCCAGGAGTTGGCGGTGTGTGGTGTCTTCCCTCTAGTGCCCTAGAATAACTTTGCGTGAAACTCCAAAAAGAAACTTGCTTACCGCCAGGAGTCCACACACGTGTATATGGATACACGTGCTTTCCATAAAGTTGCAGAACTTGTCAACCTATTCTCTACGTTGTGACTACTTAAACATCCAAGCACATTATTGAATTCAAATCTCACGCGGAGAAAGTGCAGTTCGATTACGTACACTATAGTCGTGTGCGTATGCGCTGTTTGTTTGTTATAGATTTCGCGCAAAGCTACACGAGGGCTATTTGCGCTAGCCGTCCCATAATTTAGCAGTGTAAGACTAGAGGGAAGGCATCTAGTCGTCACCACCCACTGCAACTCTTGGGCTACTCTTTTACCAACAAATAATGGGATTGACCGTCACTTTATAACGCCCCCACAGCTGAAAGGGCGAACATGTTT